TGAGAAGCTCCTTGGAGCAGTCAATGGTGATGGTTGTTCTTCTCTTCATTTAGCTTGTCAAAATGGTCACTATAGGATGACACTGTATCTCTCTGAGGTGTATCCAGCTAATGTTTATAGTGTCAATAATAATGAGGAAGGATTGCTTCATGGAGCTGCTCAGAGTGGTAGTAAGGATATAATTCAATTCCTAGTGGAGTCATACAGTCTTGATCCAGAGTCCCAGGATAAAGATGGAGTGACATGTTTACACATATTAGCAAAGCAAGGAGATAAAGAGATATACCAGTATCTTGTACCTTATGTTAGGAATAATCCAACTCCTAAGGATAAAGCTGGTCGGTCTCCACTTCATTATGCTGGTAGACATTATCAGATGTCACTGTATCTCATTCAATCTTTTGATATTCATCCTGAAGACAAAGACACTAATGGATTCACTGGTCTTCATGCTGCCTGTCAAGCTGGTAACATGCCACTAGTATTACATTATTTGAATAAACTTAACTGCAATCGTTATTTAGAGACACACGACTCTAAAGGTCTCTTATATTTTGCTTGTTTGAGCGGTCACTTGGAAATGGTTTGTATTTTAATGGAAAAGTATCAGTTAAAACCAGTTCAAAGAGACATTGATGCAGCACAGTCAATCAAAGGAGGAGAGTCTATAGTCAAATTGTTGCTCAGACGCTTTTACTTTGTAAAATTAATACAAGAAATGATTAAAGAAGCAGAAAAAAGACAAGTATTGCCCATAGCTACTAAACCTCGTCCTTCATTTATATCCTAAACTATAATACTATGCAAAATAGATTGCTTTCTTGTAATTGTCTTTGTCATACTTTATTCCTCTTGTTCATTTTTGTTTGTTTCATCATTTTGTTCGGCTTGTTTCAACTCTTTTGTTTGTGTACCAATCCACCAATTCACCACATCACACTTATTCTCTACTTCACTTTTACTTCTACAAAACACATTTGATTGTTTGCTTCACAATATTACCATGGTGGCATTATTAATGTTGACTTTAATACCTTCAAGAATAATGAAGACTTCTTGTTAGGTAATTTTTCCAGAAATTATTTTTCCTATTTTTGATAATGTTTTTTACAGTTGTAATGCTCAGTATTTACTTGTTATTTCTATTGGTAGTTATTATAGAATTACTATTATAATTATTATGTCTTTATTATTGTCCACACTCTATTATCATTATTATTGAAATTTTGCTGCTTTACACAGCTAATTTTGTTATGCTGTTATTCATAATGTAAAATATTTGCTTAAAAATTATGTGCATAATTTGAAGAACTTCGATCAAGTCAACATTATGTATATATATCTAGCTTATTACAGTTCATAAACTAATGAAGGAACATCAATACAAATACATGTGGAATGATAAAATGATGGGTAAAGTGAAAATAATATTTGTCCCAAGCCTACCAAATATCATTTTTTTACATTAAAGTATGTCATTCCCTAGCTCCTACAAACTTTAATGCATCTCTGAGATAATGTTCTCATTCTCATGAGAGAAAAACGTCAAACTTAGGATCAGGGGAGGGGATAAGAGATAGTGAGCATGCTTGTTTCTCACCTTTCACACTCTTGCATGGTGGTCTCATCATAAATACTATGGTTGTCATCAGTGAGGAAAAGGTTTCTCAGTAATCCTTCTCTCTCTTTCATTTAAAAAAATTATTGTCCAACTTATGCTCATTTCTTCTTTGTCTATCATTCTCAATATAATAATTTTAAATTTTGTAAAAACGTACAAATAATGTGGTGCTTGTGCATTAGTAAACTGGTTATTAAATCTAGCTTCATCTGTATAAGTATTTTTTCAAAGGAACTAAAAGCAGGTACAAAACAAAAATATATGTAGTTCCATCATCTCTTGAGCTACATACTTTATTCTCTCTTTCATTACCATCTATAGTTTCAGCCAAGACAAATGCCGTCTCATCATCCCATTCCATACCAACTAGATAATATATACTCTTTTTGCTAGAAAGAATAAAAACGAAAATAAAACTGAAAAGCAAGCATTGGTACATTTTATTTATTTCATTCTGTCTCACTCATAGCTGAGGCCTTATAAAAACAAGCTTCAAAATTCTTGAAGTTTAATTGTTTTTATCTTTTGCATTTTTGGCATCAAATCTAACCAGGGCTATGCCTAGTTGCTTGTTCTCCCTTTCTCTTAAGTCTACATAAGCCCCCAACTACGAGGGAGACAGAATCTATAAAAATAACAAGTAGCAGGCTATTAGTACATTAAGTCAACTGACCAATTTCTTTTGGTCCATTTTCTCTTTCTTTCTTCCCTTCAATTTTCTCTCTTTGTCTTTATCTCATCCTCGCTATCATAGTTTCTTTGCTCCTTATTCCTATACACTGATATATAATGTTAGGAATTTTTAAGTGCTCAAAAACTTAGCCAAAGACCAATGTACATTTAGATTGTTCATGTGTTACAAATTAAGTTAAACCTATTCTGATCAAAATTGTGCTTTTTGCAAATTTTTAAAGTTGCTCAAAAACTTGGCAAAAGGCCATGGACTACTTAAGCTCAAGTAGGAGTAACGGAAACAAAGATAAGTACAATTCCAAACAAAAAACACTAAAAAATTCAAAATGAAAATTCTTGTCTTGTAATGCAAATTCTTCTCTACATTATACCAAGAGTCCATGGACTCTTGATTATACTTTCTATACAGTGCAGAGAAGTGTTAATGGCTAGTATCAAGAGTCCATTATATTTAGAGAGAGTGTCTAACTGCCCTATAGACCTTTTCACGATACGCGACTGGTGGAATGTTAATGAGATGTAAATTGTATTCACGATAGGGTGCGGTCAGATTACACCCACTGGGGGGAAAGATTATAGCTGTGCCTATGGAGGAGATGCCTAAAAGCTGCTGTTTAGCTAAATGGAATGACTGGTTGGGCAAGAAAAGAGAATTGAAAGTCTTTAGATCCCTTCTAAAGGATGAGGAATGCTAAAAAAGTTGGACAGCAGCTGTAGATGAGAGCACTGGTAGCCAAGAAGAGCTCCATGATATATGATGAGCATTTGTAATGAGCATTACTGGAACTTAACCAGTATTACTGGTAAGACATTTTGGTATATAGTCCAAGTACTCACTTATTTAATCAATCTGCAGGAGAACCTGACAGTGTCCTA